AACCCTACCCTCAAGTGTATCAACCATGTCCCCATCCCACCTATTTGGTGTCTCGGCTGAGAGCACATTCCGTTCCATTGGCCAGGGTGTTGAAGTTAAGTTATGTTGATGGAGATCAACCCCTGAGGAATGACATCTGTAACAATGTGCTAGTTAAGCTATGAGGAGTGCCATGAGGAGTGCCAGTTAGACTTTGAAATATTGACAGCTACTCTTTGAGCCTGGTAATCCAGATAATTTCCCACCCATCTTGCAGTCTACACATCCCTCCAATTTGGCAACAAAAATACTACAAGACTGCATTGAAGACCATGCAAACTTCAAGGTAAATAATATTCCCGGTGCTTTCCTTGTACACTGGACAAATCATCTCACCACAGAGGGCAGATATATCAGGCATGATTTGCCATTTGCAAATCTCTGTTGACTGTTCCCAGTGACCCCACAGTTATTTTTCTGCTTGGAAGGGGCTTCCGTGAGGACTTGTGTAACTTTTTGGGGACTGAGGTGAGGGTGGTCATCCTGTTTTTCCCCAGGTGTTTCTTCTTCACCTTTTTGAAGGTGACTGTATATGCTTACCTTTTTCCAGGGACATCCACTGATCACCACTACTCTTCAGATATGATAGGGAGAGACCCCTTGTCCAGTGTAACATTTGCATCCCATCTAGATCCAGTTTGCTCAAGTGGTCCTTAAGTTGATCCTTCTTTCCTGCAGGTAGTACTTCTGTCCTCCAAACTCTACCGCTCAGCACTGGGGCCTGAGAAGCCCAAGAGCAGTTCTTGCTGGTAAAGACTGGCAAGGTATTGCATGTATTAGCCTCTTTCATTTCCTTTGTCACTGGATCTTTCCTCTCTTTCAGCAGTGGACCTATGTTGTCTTTGCTCGTAGGAGGATATCCAGTATACTCGTAGAATCCCTTCTTTTTGTTCTTTGCATTTCTAGCTAGTTCCAACTTCAGCTGTGGTTTTCCTAATTCCATTCCTACATGCCTGGAAAGTGCTTCTGTGGTCCTCCTGGGTAACTTATCTTAGGTTCCACCTTCTTTAAGCTTCCTTTTTGTTTTTGAGCTTTGTTAGAAGTTCACCATTTAGCCAAATAGCAGATCAAACGGACCCCTCTCATCCTCTGTGGAGGTTGTCCTTGAAGATCAACCAGCCTTCTTGGGCACCTTTGTAATTCATGACCATGTCTCATGAGATCCAGCCAAGCAGAGCACTGAATAAGCTGAAGTCCATTTTCCTATAATCCAGGGTTTTTTCTTTATTCTGTTGTTTGCCTTCCTCACTTCCCTTAGAATCTTAAGCTCCACTGTCTCATGGTTGCTGCAGCCAAGGCAGCTGCTGACTTCCATGTCCCCGATAAGGCTCGTTTTTTAAACGTACGTGTATAAAATTCAGTAGAGCAACACTCCTGGTCAATCTGTTGAGCATTTATGTCAATACTTGTCCTCAATGGATTTGAAATCTGGATTGCTTGTGCCCTACTGTGTTGCTTCTCCAGCAGATGAACTGGTGGTTGTATTCCACCGTGAGGACCAAGGCTAAGTGTGTGGAAGCTTCCCTTGTTGCCCTGTCCTGCGTGTGCCTCTCACCTCACATCTCCAGCACCTCAAGAGCTCAGTTTAGTCAGGTTTAGAAGATACCCTCCTCATGATTCCCAAATTTCTTTTGGTATCTAGAAGCAGTAATTGAGTACAAGTGTAGCTTATGTGAGACTGAATGTGTTTGCCATCCAAAGGCAAATGACTTCTTTGGCATATATCAGGTAAATGCTTGGTTTTGTTTCTATATATTTCAACACAGAAACAGGTGTTTTAAATGTTGTCATTTCTGCCTCAGCCTATAGTTTAATTTGACCTAAATAATCGATGTACATTTACTCATCTGTTTCTTCTTCACCGTAGAGATACTTGTGTTGAGCTATTTGTGTTTCTTATTCTGCATATCCGAGAATCAAGAGTTTAAAAATTTCAGTATTACATTGTCATAAAAGTGATCTGTACTGGTGGTAGGTGCAGTGTAGGAAACAAAAGTCTGATCTAATGGAATATGTTGAAAAACAATAGCTAATGTTTTGGCTAGTTTATTAGCCAAGTTTTGAAAGGGAAAAAATACACCAAACAAACACAACAAAACCCCCAACACTCCCAATCCACAAAAAACCCAGAAGTGGTAACGTGCTGCAGCTTTTCAGATGATTTTCAGGAATACACCGTTATAATGGTGGTCATGTATATTAATTTAATATTACCTATTTAAGTCTTCAGAGGCATTGTGTTTCTTCTGGTGATGCAGCTTTATGAGAGGAAACTTGGTTCTTTTTGGAAAGGATTTGTTAACTCTGCACTTAACTAGCTGAATATATTTTTAATATTCTGTTCTTTTTGAATGTGGAAAAGAATACCTTGTGTAAGGTAATACTGTCTGCTTTGAATTATACTGAACATACAAAATGTAAAGAATCTGTTATTTAATCTTTAGGATTTTAAATGTTTATTTAGTGTTAGGTTTTGTCTGTGTCATCTGTTTTAAAATGTATTTTTAAAACCTGACACAGACTTCAAGCCGTCAAGAAGAGGAACAAGTGGTCCTTGTCAGAACAGATCAAAGTGGAAGGGCATGGCCTGTGACAGTACCAACTGAACCGCAGGAGCCGAAAGGAGGACGGAGAAAGCGACAAATGGTAAGTTTTACAAATATAAGTGTTAAAGTGTAATTCTGAAATGATTTTGTAGTAGTTAATTATGGCATCGTGAAAGTAAATGAGTGTCTTATGAGAATGTCAATAGGTATTTAAAAAGTTCCTTTCAGAAGATGATTGTAATTAAGTGTTAGAGTACATATTTATCAAGCATATATTAAGTTTATTTTCAGACTTTGTTTCCCTAGGGATCACTTTAGGGCTTATTTAAATGCACATTCAAGGAAAAGTAAGTTTTTTCAAGTTATGACAGTCTCTTAGCCAAGTAGTCTATATTAACATAAAGTTATGTAAATAATGAAGATTAGCAGAGGTGAATATTTTCAAAATAAGAAAGATTTTACTGAGATACTCAGGCTGCAGGGGCTAATTTTTCCTTTTTTTCTGATCAAAAATACCACTACCGCTGATAATAAAAGTTACGACCTAATCTTGTAACAAAGCGCTCTGGAGAACAGTGAGAAGTGTGGAGGCTGAAGCAGTGTTTTATTCTCTGGATAATTGCTTGCAACAGTAAATAAACTAACATTTCAATCTTCTTGGGATAAGAGGAGATGACAATACCTTGTATCTCTAGCAAGCATGTTCTTGATTAGTAGGACAGATCAGTTTGTAACACTGCTATGGAGGAGCGAAAGGCACAAGAGGGCGAGGAATTGGTTGTCACCACCCTTTTTTTTCCATTTTGGAAAATGCCATCTTGCTTTATGTTAATGACCATTCCCTGTGCTCCTTCAGGATTTAGTTTAATCCTGCCCTAAAGGAAAAACTCTGTTCTCTTGTGCACTCTAAGATGGCAACGTTTCCCAGCAGAGGTACCTCATTTATGCAAGTTTTCAGTACTGTCTGTGATTGCTGTGTTTCAGCACTGTCTATGACTTGACAATTTACAAGCTTTTGTAAATAATGAAGATTACTTTTTGGAATATTCCATTTTTGTGAGCTGATTAACTGTTTCAGTGAATTACTGTACATCTTTCCTGAGTGGTAATGTTGTAGCTGTGATAGATTAAGGATATAAAGGTTATAGCAATCGTGGGAAGAGGCTATATTTTTATGTAGATACATTGATGCAACTGAAGAAAGGGGAAGATGTTCTTTTCCTTAGGTCAAATGAAGCAGCAAACCCAATTGTTTCAGATGTACTTAGCTTGATTCATGATTCATTAAACTTGTTGAAATTATTAGGATCTGAATTTTATAGCTGATATTTCTCACTAGGTTAATATTTATTTTCAATATGTTTGTTTCCAGGTCCCTACTCATGTAGATAATGAAAGAGTAAGGTATTTTCAGGATGATGATAGTATGAACCTGAAGGATTTGGTCAAAAATGAGAAGATGAGAACAGCAGAGGATCAAAACTCACTGTTCATGCGTATGGCCTCAAAGGTAAGATGTCACGTGTATGGCTTTTTAATTAAGCATTTTATTATTAGAAATATCAGGGAGGACATGAGGCCTCAGTGCTCTAGGTATGTTGCTTTTGGTTGAGAATTCTGATTGTCTTGAATAATAATCAAGTCTGTTGTAAGACCGTCCTGGTGGATGTTATCAAAGTGATGGAAACCTGCATGCATGCAGGAAATGTGATGTGTTCAGTTCCTTCAGAGAGGTGATTGTACTGTTCCTCGACCTGTAGAATTTGACGCTTTTGAGGTGAACGCTTTTAGAGTGTGGTGCACATTAATAGGTTACTTATGTCCAACAAAGCAGGTTTTCCCCAAATTAATGATGAACAAAAGCAGTATTTTCTTAGTGTTTAGTGTATCTCTTCCATCTAGAAGTAACAACAAGAATTCGTAGCAAACTACCTAAAATTCTATTAGGATGTCCCGGGTAGTGAGACAATTTGTGCTCACAGGCCACACAGATTTATACATTATGGTTCCATGAGTGATTCCACTTAAGAGTGGCCAGCTTACAGACAGATACTGCAGTGCAAATGGAACAATTAATTTCTGTCATCCAAACTCAGTAATAAAGGATATGTTCTGTGCTTGATATGGAAGTGTTTGACAGAGGTGATTTCCAATAGCTACGACATATAGTTTCCCTAGCATGCTTCAAATTTTAGTAGTTTACTGCTCCAATGTTTTATGCACTGCTGAGCAGGTTTTGAAAAAGCTTATTAGCATGGAATTAGTATCATCACAGGTAAAAACTTGTTTTTCCATTTATCTAGAAGGCAGACAAGATCCTGGAAAGCAGATTTTGTGTTTGTTTGTTTGGGGTTTTGTTTTGTTTTGTTTGTTTTTGTTTTTTTTTTTAATTCTCCTTCTTCAGGTGATACTTAGAATTGAAAAAGCCATGATAGTGCCCAGTAGAAAATATTTAACCTGATGCTATAAACCATCTGGCAGGAAGTTCTTCTGGAGAGATTATTGGAACTTAGCATGGTTTACGCATCTTCTCATTCAGCTGCTTCTTCTCATTCTCTCCTGCTGGCATACTCAAAAAACTGATGCCCTTTGGGTCTAGTTAAATAAACACATCTTGTTGCCAGTATTTGATTTCCTTATTTACCTTCCCTTCCAAAAAAAACCCCAAACATGTAAAACTTTTCTTCAAAACCTGTGTAATAGTGCAAATTATTAACTATAATTAGCTAGCATATCTGTCGTGCAAACATTTACAAGTAAATGAAAATGTAAGGAGACAATAGAGCTTTGTACTGTCTGCATCATATGGTAATAAGCATAACAAAGAGAAATGGTTGCCATTTTCTCAAGGACCTTATTCATCTTGTATTGTCTTGTCTCCATTAAGTATTTTCTTTAGAAGAGGTAACTTTTGTGAAAAACAGTGGTTGGGGGGTGTGTGTTTGAATATCTATATTAAAACATAAGTGGAATGGAACGTAAAAAAAATATTTAACTCAAATCTGGACATCGAAGGTGAGTTTGTAAATCAATATTAACATGTCTTTCTGAAATTATTATTAATGTGCTCAATTTGTCCTGTATTTAGTCTATTTTTGTGTGACTGCTTCCACTGAACAGTTTACAGGATTGATTTTAGTGCTCTGATTCTTTTGAGAGGTCTGAAAAAAAAAAAAAAAACCAACCACGGGCTAATTTGAGCTTCCTGAGTTTGGTAATAGCAAACATTTGCAGTGCCCTTATGAAGACATAGTGGAGAGTGCTCTCAAAAAAGAGAAGCATCTTTTTGCTTGGATTTTTCCAAACTCAAACAAAAGGCTATTCGGACTTTTCTGAGAAACATGTATGCGTTTATAGAGTAATGTACTTGGCTTGCTCCTGAAATTTCTAAACTTAGTGAAAAGTATTGTTTGTTTATTCCAGTATTTATTGGTTCCAAGATTATGCACTTCAAACTGGAAGTACTGTTTGACTCTTACAGCATGTTCAGTTGTCCTTGGTTTAGTTTTTGCATTTTTGACATTGTATTAAGTAATTATTAATGCAAGGAAGACTACCAAACTTGAAGGGAGATCAAAGGTTTCTCTATTATTTAGTTTTGTAAGTCTTCAAAGGGAAAATTCTGATAATTTTTCTTTGTAATTTCTTTTGTTCTGTTCTTTTTTTCTATTCAATTTTGAAATGCTGTGAATTTTCCAAGTTCTTGATGACTGAGATACATTGAGCTTGCTGCTCTTGCATTAAGTTACTTGCTTTCTGTGGCTCCTCATCTCCCATTCTATCATCTGTACCTATTGCTAAAAGGCATGAGCTATGATTATTGAATTTGAAGAAAACAGAAAACCAAATCCTATATGCGTAACATTTTTGGTTGGCATTCTTGTAACTGCAGCCAGTTCCTCAAAGATTTTAATAACTTGCACTGGAAGGATTTCTGGGAGAATGGTAAAACTTGATCCATTTAGGAATGGTGCAGAAATGGCTTGGCTTAGTATGTAGCTCTTCTGAAAATAAGGATTCTGTACAAGAGAGCATGAACTTTAGCAACTGAACTTCTGCATCCATATAGTAGATGAAAATGCAATATAGTGTTTAACTTTTATAAAGAGGCAATTATGAAGAAATGTGGAGTCTATTTAATGGGAGTTTAAAATGAGTACGTAAAGAGAAAATGCTTGCAGGTTATGAGGGACTCTGTTACTCAGTAGTAATTGCACATGTATGCCACTGCTGAAAATATTCTAAGGGAGTGAACAACCTCCCAAAATGGGATAAAACTTTATTTAATTGTTTTTATTTAAAAATAATTCAAAGGTAGGTGAACAGACGAATAAAGAGCTTCTGGAGATTAAAAGGAAAATCAAATCCGGAACCCAACCATTATTTAAAAAGTACTTGTCATGTCCAAGTAAGCACAATGGAAAAGAACGTAAGCCTAGCAGGTTTAGAAGTAAGCTTTGATTAGAAAAATTGAAAAATTATCTTGAAGGAATTAGTTTAAGTAGCTATTTTGAGTTTGCAAAAGCATAAAACTAGGAGTTCAACTCATTGGAAGCAAGAA